GACTGGAATCAAATCTCCTGGGACTCTTCAGTGTGCAAGGCTGGTGCTCTATCCACTGAGCCATGCTGGCCTGGCACATTTTTAAGTTTTTTTTTTTTTTTTTTTAAGAAACTCCAAACTGTTTTTCACAAAGGCTGCATCAGTCTGCATTCCCACCAGCAATGCGCTAGAGTTCCCTTTTTCTCCACAACCTCACCAACATGTTGTTTGTTGATTTGTTGATGATAGCCATTCTTCCATGTGTGAGGTGTTACCTCATTGTCAGTTTGATTTGCATCTCTAGAATGATCAGTGATTTTGAGCATTTTTCCATATGCCCTTTGGCCTTCTATATATCCATTTTGGAGAAGCGTCTATTGAAGTCCTTTGCTCATTTTTAATTTGATTATTTATCTTCCTTTTGCTATGTTGTACGCATTCCCTGTAGATTTTGGAGGTTAACCCCTTGTTGGATGTATCATTGGCAAATATGTTCTCCCATGGTGTGGGCACTCTTGTTATTTTACTAATGGTTTCTTTTGCTGTGCAGAAGCTCTTTAATTTGAGGTAGTCCCATTTGTTTATTTTCTCCTTAATTTCCATTGTCCTAGGAGATGCATCCGTAAACATGTTACTACGAGAGATGTCTGAGATTTTGCTGCAAATGGTTTCTTCTAAGATTTTTATGGTTTCACATCTCACATTTAAGTCTTGTATCCATTTTGAGTGTATTTTTGTATATGGTATAAGTTGGTGGTCTAGTTTCATTTTTTTGCATGTATCTGTCCAATTTTCCCAACACCATTTATTGACGAGATTGTCCTAACTCCATTGTATGCTCTTGCCTCCTTTGTCAAATATTAAATGAGCATAATAACTTGGGTCGAGTTCTGTTCCATTGGTCTATATGTGTGTTCTTGTGCCAGTACCAGGCTGTTTTGAGTACAGTGGCTTTATAGTATAACTTGAAATTTGATATTGTGATTCCTCCAACTTTGTTTTCTTTCTCAAGATTGCTGCAGCTCTTTGGAGTCTTTTTTGATTCCATATAAATTTTGGGGGAATTTGTTCTAGCTCTTTGAAATATGCTGTTGGTATTTTAATAGGGATTGCATTGAATCTGTAGGTTGCCTTGATAATATGGAAGTTTTAGTGATGCTGATTCTACCAATCCATGAACATGGTATATTCTTCCACTTGTATATATCTTTTTTCCCCAATGTTTTGTAGTTTTCCTAATACAGGTCTTTTACCTCCTTGGTTAAGTTTATTCCTAAATATCTAATTTTGTTGTTGTTGCTGCAATGGTAAATGGGGTTGTTTGTTTGTTTTCCCTTTCTGAGAGTTCATTTTTGGTGTATAAAAATGCCATAGATTTCTGGGTGTTAATTGTATATACCGTTAAGTTGCCAAATTCATTTATTAAATCTAGTAGTTTTCTGATGGTCTTTAGAGTTTTCTATGGACAGTACGTCATCTGTGAATGGTGACAGTTTTATTTCCTCCTTTCCAATTTGGATGCCTTTTATTTCTTCTTATCTTGTCGCAATGGCTAGCACTTCTAGTACTATGTCAAACATGAGTGGTGAAAGTGGGTATCCCTGTCTTGTTCCTTTTCTTATGGGAGTATTAAGTTTTAATATTAAAATTCTTATATATTAATAAGGAAAAGTGGAAAAGGGGAAAAGGCAGTTCATAGAAAGAGAAATACAAATGATTAACAAACCTATGAGATGATGTTTAATGTAATTTTTAATTAAAGAAACCTAATTTTTGGAGCATAATACTGTATAAATAAGTAAATTTAAGAGGTAAAAGTTGGCAACATGGATAAAATGAACATCCACTTTGACCCAGTGATCTCACTTCTAGGAATTAAACCTAAGGAAATAATGCCATAGTTGTCAACATTTATCCATATGAAGGTTTCCACTGTAATATTTTTTTGTAATAGACAAAACTTAGGAAGAGGCAAAATATTGATCAGTAATACATTGATTACATTTTTGGTAAATCCACACTATAGACTAGCAGTTTATCTGATAAAGCAATGTATACAATATATTAGGTGAAAAATAGTGTTCAGAATGATATGCATAGTATGATCCCAAATAATATATGTTCACATATAATGTATGTACATATGAATTTTTGTTGATGTACTGTATATAAAACAACAATAACGCCTGGAAATAGTTCATTGAAAAGTTAGTAGTGGTTTTCACAGGATTTATCCTAGAATTGAGGTAGATGAACTACCATGGTGGTTATCAGAAGGGTGGAGAATTTGAGATATTTTTATTTTATCTCCCTTTTTTTTCCTTTCCTTCATTTCAGCTCAAAATTTCACTTTCTTTCTTCCTCAAGGAAGCCTTCCCTAATTCCCAGGCTCTACCACATTTTTAACTTGTTTCTTCACAGTATTTTTTGTATTAACAGTGTTCCTTCACAGTATTTTTTAGTTTGTCTGTATATGTGATTATTTCATGAAGGTATTGTTTCCACTATGAGAGCAAAGTCAGTGTCTTCTTTTTTTCATCAACATATTCACAATAAGCATAGCACTTATAGCAACTCTCCTTCATCCCTTCTTTCTCCTAATGTTATTATGTGGACATTTGAATTTTGCTCAGTATTATGTAAAGGTCATAAAAGTGCAGCTTTTAGACATCCGCCATAAATCAAACAAACACAGATGGATAAATCAGAATCCAATAGCAAATGTCACACTCACTGGTGAAATATTAAGGGTGTTCCCATTTACTTCAAGAATAAAATTAGGAGGCCCTCAATTGCCATTATTATTCAACATAGTTGCAGAGGTTCTGGTCAATGTGCTATGTCCATAAAATGAAAGAATAAAATATATAAATACTGAAAAAATTAAAAATCATCATTTGTAGACGATTCTCTATGCATACCTACATAAACCAAAGTCATCAACTGAAAAATTATTAGAAAAATTAAGAAAGGTCACTAAAAATAAACATATAAATATTTTTACCAAGACAATCAATAACCTGGTAGAAAATATAATCATAAAAGAAATGTCATCCCCCAAAGCAACAAAACAATAACATACCTGGGAATAAGCTTAACAATAAGTATGACTTCCCTGAATAAACATATAATTTATTGACGATCATAATGACAACATGAATAGAAAGACTCAATTTTTAAAGATGTCACTTCTCAAGTTAAAATGTATATTCATTGCACTTTAGTCACTAGCTGTCAACCATTCTGTTCTGCAGTGTTGTTCATCTTGGAACTTGACACACTTCCACATTCTACTTTATACTTTTCTGCAATGTTCATACATTTAAAAAAATATGGAGTGTGGGGAGATGAGAGGGACACACACACACACACACACACACACACACACACACACAGAGATTTGAGAGATTTCTTTTGAGGGAACTTACCTTTTTTCCCCTAGTAAAGTTGTTCTGAATTATTTTTTTAGTCACAGATGTCTGTGAGAATCTGATGAGACCTACAAACCTTCTCCCCACTAAAATGAACATGCATAATTTTGATAAAATTTTCACAGAGTTAGCCAGTTGAGAATGCCTACTCTAGGTTTATCAGTATGGTGAGGAGGTGAGTCCATTAGTTGAGGGGGCACCAAGTTGGGGGTGGACTGCAGCACATGACCCTACATCAAGGCTAGGTTCTTTCTGAGGACCCTGAAGTGAGGAGCCTATATGGCAGAGGCCCAGCAGGCTGAACCTCTCAGGCCAGGGGGCATGAGCAGACTTGGGTGTTGTGAATGAGGCCACAGCAGGCAGACTTGTATGCTTCCCCCAGAAATCACTTCTCTAGGTTTTATGGAAACCCACAGCTGCAGGGGGATGTGACCAACAATCCCTCCTATGCATCCCTGAGTTACCTCTGTGGGAACTGAAGGGAGGGAAGAAGGCAAATACATTTACTCAGGTCAGATTGGTCATCTGAGTAAAGGTGGCATTTACCACCTTGGTCACCTGTCCATGTATACTTTTAGACTGAGCAACAGAGTCATTTGCCTGACTGCAGGGGATGAGAAGCTATGGAATATGGGAGAAGATCAGAGGACAACACCTTTATCCCTTACCTCTTGACAAGGCAGGGAGGAAGGGACCAGTTCTGCATCCCTTACACTCTCACCTGTATCCACCTTAGTAGACTTGAATCCAATCCAGAGGCAGGTGTTCAGAACAGCCATCAAATCATAAGTGGTTCACACAGCAGTCAACCAAGACTCTGGGACACTAAATGCATGTCTTTTTTAAATCAAACAAGACAGGATTGTGCTGCCTTTGTTTTATCAATTTGCAAGTTGATCCAAAAATAGAAAAAGTAATAAATCATTTGCATAAAATGGGAAGAATCAAAGGACTAGTCCTCTCCTTGTGGACTAATTAATAAATCATGTGAAAATTCCCATTATAAATTTTAAAACAGGTTAATACGTTTCAAAAGTTCCTATTTGGCTATAACTGATAGAAACAGTTTCCTTGTGTTATAAATAAATGTAATGAAATTAATGAGACCTTCTGGCCTCCCACTTAAATTATTTTTCACTCAAATGAAAATAGCATCATTTTATTTTTTCAATATAAAAGTAACAGTATTGATTTTTTAAAAAATGAACAGAAAAGTTTAAGGAAGTAAAACACTCCCATTACTTATATCCTTTTCAGAGATCTTTCCTCCCTTTTGTATAGGGGTGCAGGAGAAAAGCTGGATCCTCATGGCTGAGGGTGGGTGATGAATGGAGAGATGGTTGGACAGGGATAAGGGGGAAAATTATTCCTCAAAGAGGAAGAAAAGATCAATGAACTAGGGAACAGATGCAGTCTCTTCCTGTAAATTAAAGAAAGGCAAATTCCAACCACAAGGAGAAGCTATTCCTGGTTTCTAGGATTGGCAGAGGAAAATTGAGTGGCAGGACCTGATACGGTCAGGGAAGGAAAGGGGTGGGCCAGCCCGCACTGCCTGCTGGTGGGAGTGGTAATAAGGGTCTTGAGCTCACAGATGACGTGGCCCTCACGTGAGCAGAAGCTTACGCATTTAGACGTCCTTCTAATCTTCGTCTTTGTTTGGTCGCTTGCCATCTGCCTATTCCCATCGTGCGGGCGGGCCTGTGGCTAGGGAAGGAGGAGGAGGTAACTGACTAGATCCCTTCAGGTCTATGCGGATGGTCGCTGCCCGGGGGATCCCTGCGGTGTGGGTTGAGGAGGGTGGATTCCACCGGAAGGGGACCTGTGTGCTTTCTAACACCCTGCCCTTCCAAGAACGAAAATGAGACCCCAGCGCAGGAGGGGTCTGCCCATCACGCACTCAGTCCCAGAGAACATCCAGGGCCTTGAATCGGGAAGGGCAGTGTATTAGAATTCCGGGCCTTCTACCAATCTAGGACTTGGGGCTGTGGGTTTGTCTGACCATTTGTCTTTTCGCGTGTCTTTCAGCAGGGCGCGTGCCACTGGGAGCAAAGGAACAAAGAATCTGCCCGGAATTCCTGCATGTCAGTGTAAAGGGGATTGCCCCGGCGCCCACAAGAAGAGCGGGGATGGCCGAGGTCCTCCCTTATCTCGGGCCCATTACTGACTCTCCAGCTATCTTCCTGCTATTATATATATATAGAGAGAGAGAGAGAGAGAGAGAGAGAGAGAAAAGGATGTGACAGCCTATCGTAAAAATTGGTGCCTTCAGGGGGGAGGGGTGGAAATGCGTCAGGGAGGGGAATGGTCTTTCCGCCCGCTTTCCATACTTCCTCCTCCCCCTCCTTCCAGTGGTTTCAAAGGGGTGTGGTTTTTGTTTTGTTTTGTTTTTTTGAAAATGGCCATCCGCTAGGGGTAGAGCGGTGGGCTGGGGCAGGGCTTGGATGGACGTCATGCAGGATGTCCGAGGGGTCCTGAGAAGGGGGGTAGGATGAGAACAAAAACAATTAAAACCTGTTTGACTACCAGGACCTTGAATTCGCACTGGGACTTTCTGAAGTGCTGTTCTGTCCGCTAGCCTTCCTTCTCGGCCAAGTCACCTGAAGGCCAATCCGACCCAAGAGCAGGAAGAAGAGGAATATTGTCCAGAAACAAGTAGGTCAGAGGGAGGATGCTGGAGTTGTTTGAGGGCCCTTGGGGTGGAGACTACAAACTCCAGTGGGCCTCCTCTACATCCCCCTCCTTTCCTCCTCTTTATACCATTTCGGAGCTTACAAAAGAAAGTTCTCCGCTGTTATAAAACTGGGAAAGAAGTGGCTGGAAGCAGGGAGGGTGTCATAAGAATTCTGGGGTGGGGGTAGGGAAGACCTTTTTCCAAATTACTTTTTGGAGTACAAAAAGTAATTGGTATTGGTCTGCCCATCACGCACTCAGTCCCAGAGTTGTCCATCCTTAGGTTTGGTGGAGGCAGAAACTGAGTTGAGGGATGAAGTAAATTCCTCTGGAACAGTGGAAGTTGGTATAATGGGTTGAGTAGGAGTGTCTTGGTACCTTTAAGATAATGGGGGTGGCGGAGGCAAGGGTGAAATTCCAGACTTTTGTTCATTTTACCCCTCTCTGGCTTCTAGATGTTCTCAGTCCACCCCCATTGATTTTGTTAGGGAAGGGAATGTGTGGTATCACCTTTAGAGGAAGTTGGGGTGGGGGTGGGGTGGGGTAGAGGATTGGAGGAGATCAGAGATCAGAGGAGGTGAGCTAATTAATTTCAAAGGACTGTGAGGAGAGGGGCATAACTAGGTGGGAAATACTGGTCTACTCTGACTAGGGCCAGGGATTCCAGATGACCTGGGTGAAGTCATCTGCACCATAAGCTCTCAGCAATCCTCTCCCCATCCCTTATGTATGTATGTTTGCAGAATACAGTGCACTTCCAGGCAAGAAGGAAAAGGAAGAAACTGTCTGAACCTGTGTGGGTATATGTGGAAGTACCACTACTCCCCAGGACATCTGGAAGGGCAGAAGAGGTAGGGAACTGATTAGATACCTTAAATTAAGTGAACTGGGGTAAGGTAAATTGACCATGAGGTTGGAGAATCTGGAGGTGGGGAAATTTTTCAAAATTAACTTCCCTGTGTAGGAAAGGGATCAGCGATCTAGTCCTAAGACCCTGTTATGTCCCCGTTCCTTTGTCTGCCCCCAATTTAGTCTGTCTGCATGCAAAGACACAAAAGGAGGAGATTGAAGCCTCAAGTCTTTCCTTCTTTCCTAGGTGCTGTGGTATCTGCAGTTGCTGAAGAACCTGACAACTGTAGCTAAAGATTCCATCCAGGCTTCAGATAATTCTGAGCCACAGCAAGCCTGCTCTGCCTGGGTTAAAAATTTGGCCCAGACATTAGCCCCAGTATGGGTCGAACTCGGGAGGCTGGCTGTGTGGCTGCTGGTGTGGTGATCGGGGCTGGCGCCTGCTACTGCGTATACAGACTGACCTGGGGAAGAGATGACAACGAGAAAATCTGGGACTACAATGATGATGACGAAGATGGGGAATCTAGTGATATTACAGAAATTGGGGTGGAGGCTGGGAAAGCAGCTAATACTGCAGTGGGGGGCAGAGCTAGATTTCAGGGTGACTCAAAGGCCAAAGTTAAAGTGGGCAAGGAACTCAAGAGTGGTCCAGATATAAAAATGGAAGCCCACTCAGGAACCCAGAGAGGAAGTGGCCTAGAGGCCAAGGCCAAGGCCCTTTTCAGCACACTGAAGGAACAGGCAAGTGCAAAGGCAGGCAAAGGGGCCAGGTTGGGTACCATCTCTGGGAGCAGGACTCTTGCATCGAGTTTACCCTGCCCAGGAGGCAGGGGTGGAGGCTGCCACCCCACCAGGAGTGGAGCTAGGGCTAGGAGCAGGGCAAGTGGAAAGTCCAAGGGAAAGGTCGAAGCCAAGCGCACCAGAACTCCAGCTACAACATGGCCTGTTCACAGGGGCAAGTTCAACTTTCCCTATAAAATTGATGATATTTTAGGTGCTACAGACCTTCAAAAGGTCCTTGACATCCTGGAAAGAACAAGTGATCCTTTTATTCAAGAAGTAGCCTTGGTCACTCTCGGTAACAATGCAGCATATTCATTTAATCAAAATGCCATTCGTGAATTGGGTGGTCTCCCAATTATTGCAAAACTGATAAAAACGAAAGATCCCATTATTAGAGAAAAGGCTTACAATGCTCTTAATAACTTGAGTGTGAATGCTGAAAATCAGGGCAAGATTAAGGCATATATCAGTCAAGTGTGTGATGACACTATGATTTGTTGCTTGGACTCAGCTGTGCAGATGGCTGGACTAAGACTGTTAACCAACATGACAGTTACTAATCATTACCAACATTTGCTTTCCTATTCTTTTCCAGACTTTTTTGCTTTGTTATTCCTGGGAAATTACTTCACCAAGATTCAGATTATGAAACTACTTATAAACTTTACTGAAAATCCAGCCATGACAAGAGAGCTGGTCAGTTGTAAAGTACCATCAGAATTGATTTTCCTCTTTAATAAAGAATGGGACAGAGAGATTCTTCTTAATATCCTAACCTTATTTGAGAATATAAATGATAACATAAAAAATGAAGGGCTTGCATTATCCAGGAAAGAGTTTAGCAGAAGTTCACTTTTTTTCTTATTTAAAGAATCTGGGGTGTGTGTTAAAAAAATTAAAGCATTAGCAAATCACAGTGATCTGGTGGTGAAAGTAAAAGTTCTCAAAGTACTGACCAAACTCTAATCAGGGGTCTGTCTCAAATAATATAGAGATATGTTTTTTAAGTTTGCACTTGGGAAAAATACATTTTGTAAATTCTTTGTTTTCACTGTGATTATATGGCATAGAGATACTTTCAGCTGCTATTTTGGAATAATGAATATCACAGATCAATAGTAATGCTGGCTGTGATGGTTGGTTTTAGGCTGGACCATTTTAAGGATGCCAAATGAATACTAAAGCTTGTAAAAACAAAGCACTTAGTGGATTCCATCTTGCTACCTAGATTGAGATATTTTTACTCTTTACCTAAACTGACAGCAAACTAATCATAAATAACCTACACTTTTGTATTGGTTTATATTTGTTAATCTTTAGACTTGTGTTTTATCAATAAAGTTATGTGTTTTAACCAGCAAAAAAAATTATCATGTTCTTAAGTTTATTGTGTGTTTGAGAAGGCAAGATGAATGGAAACAAAAAGTTATTAACAAAACTTTTTGAGCCATTCATCATGGCCAGCTGCTTCCTATTAGTGCTTAGACGTGGCAGAAAGTTTTGCAGGTAACAGAGCGTAGGAAGTTTTACAGAAGAGAGGATGCTTAAGTAAGGTGGGCTTGAAGGATAGGATAAAAACAGGACAGAAGGGTGTTGGAGGACGAAGGAATGGTGGGAAGAAATGCATGGAGGTGGGAATCCTGCTCCAAAGAGGAGGCTGGCCTGTCTGAGTACAAAGTGTGGAAAAGGGAGGGGTGAGAAATATAGTTGAGCATTTGGAGCGAGTCGCATTCGTGGAAGGTCCCTGATGGCTTCACTGAGGTGTTTGCAGATTACTCCATCCAATCCTGGATGACACGAAAGCTTTTCATGACCCTGGGAATGACAGGGTGAAAGGAAAATAATGTGGCTGTTTTGGAACAGGATGGGTCTGAGTTGGGGAGGGCACAGGAGTGGCCACTGAAATTGGAACACCAGTTAGGAAGTTCCCACCATAGTCCAAGTACAAGATGATAAAAGTCTGAAATGTCACTGTTGGTCATGGGAATGATGAGAGGCAGCAAGTGAGAGACTCTTTGAATGAAGAAGTGTTGGGACCTATTCTGGGGACTACAGTGAGGGACAATTTCATTTTAGAGGTCTTGAGGCATTTGATATGAAAATACACCCTTTCTTGACCAATTCTGTTTGTGTGTGTGTGTGTGTGTGTGTGTGTGTGTGTGTAAGTGAATATATTAATTACTATTTTGCCCCTCTTTTTCTTTTTTGGAAGGGAGGTAGGTAGAGGGAGAGAAAGGAGAATCGATGTGAGAGAGACACATCAATCCAGTGCCTCCCTGACGGGCCAGGGATGGAACCTGCAACCCTGGTACAAGCACTTGGCAGGGAATCGAACCAGAGACCGTTTGGTACAAGGGCAGGCACTCTAAGCACTGAGCAAGGATTAGTTACTATTTTGAAATAAGAAACTGTAATAGAAGAAATAATAATTTTTAGTGCTTTTATCAGATTTCTTTTGTAAGGTTGGTTGAGGCCTTTATGGAACCATCCAGAGAGCTGTTGGCATTCATATTGAAGATTATCTACTTCTCTCCCAACCTAGAGAGTGGTAGGGTGTGGAGGGAGGGGCACCCTCCAAGTGTGCTGGTGGAGCATACACTGGTACAAGGTCCACTTGGACACATGTTTCAGAAACCCTCAAGATGTACATGCTCTTTAACCCAGTAATTCCACTGGTTGATATTTATTCTTAGAATTACATCTTTGCTCTCAAAGGGAAAGGATGCAGAAAAATACATTTGAAGAATCTCACCCACTTTATCTGGTTGACCAAGCACACTAGCAGCCCTACCAAAATGAAGAAATGTTACAGAATCTTCCCCTTGATGGTACTGCAGCCGGTGCTGTTGTAAACCTGGTCTATGCCCTCTGCAGGCCTCCTAAGGCCTGGCTGCTCAGAGGCCTGTCAGTCACCTGGAGTCACCGGGTGTGTTCCACTGTGTGAAGACCTTTAGATCAGAGTAACTTCTTTATGCAATCCTCTGAATCACAGGTTTGGAATAAAGTATTATTTCCAATGTCATTATAAAAAGAAATTTATCCTTAGAAAATAACCAAATAATTGGCTCGTATAAAAGCGTGAAGTATGAAAAATTGTGAATGAGCCAAGTGTCTCCAAAGAGGCACTTGGTTAAACAAATTTGGATATGTCTACACATTGAAACATTGTGCGGCTCTTGAAACATTGATGAACATTTAGTCTCATTTACCGGTACGTGGAAAAAATTCACTGTATAATGTTTTTTTCTTTTAATTCTCGTCTGAGAAATGAGGATTTTTTCCCCCATTGATTTTTAGAGAGAGTGGAAGGGAAGTGGGGGAGAGAGGGAGGGAGAGAGTGAGGAAGAGAGAGAAAGAGAAATATCCATGTGACAGAGACACATCGAATGGTTGCCTCACACTCAGGGAATGGACCTGCAATCCAGGTATGTGCCCTATACTGCAACCAATTAGAGACCCTCTGGTGCCCAGGCTGACACTCTAACTACTGAGCAATGCTGGCCAGGACTTAGTCTATAATCTTAAGTGGAAAAGCCAGTTAATGACTCTATACATAGTATATATTTTAAGGAATATAAAACATTTACATGCATTAAAACTTCTGAAAGGCTATATACTAAAGAATGATTATAAGTAATGGGATAATGCATGAATTTAATATTCTAATCTTTTCCCTCATTTCTATTTTCTCATCTGTAATATATAGAATATCCCCCAAAATGTATACATACTTTAACAGCTGATAATTCATTCAATTTTGAAAATTAACTCTATGTTAATAAACACTGACTTTATAATCATTCAAGGTATGTATTGTATACATTTTTGAGATACTCTGTATGTTGACTTTTTGGTATAATTGTTAGGAAAGAAAAATGTTACATTCCAACCAAGGTTGCACAAGAATTCCCTTTCCCCATATCCAAGCCAATACTTGTTATTTCTTTCCTTATTTTTAAAAAATATATTTTTATTTATTTCAGAGAGGAAGGGAGAGGGAGAGAGTGATAGAAACATCAATTATGAGAGAGAATACTGGGGATCAAGCCTGCAACTTGGGCATATGCCCTGACGGGGAATTGAATGGTGACCTCCTGGTTCATAGGCTGACACTCAACCACTAAGCCGCACCAGCCAGGCTCTTGCCTTCTTGATGATACCCATCATAAAAGGTGTGAGGTGATATTTTATTATGGTTTCAATTTGAATTTTCCTGGTGATTAGTAATGTTGAGCACCTTCTTGTATACCCGTTGGCCTCATGGAATTGAATAAATAAACTGTTAAAATAAATCCTCTGAGAAATAGGGTGTTTGTTTACCTCTAAGAACTGGAAATGCTTCTTCAATGCAATCACATCAATTTTTACAACATTCCTGATGCCTGGCTGATGTTACTGTGGTTTAGACATGAAGCTATCAGAAATAACCAGTGGTAACATTTTGGCAAACATCATTCCAGAAAACGTCTTATACACAGAAAAACATGTACAAATATATATTTTAAAGCCAGTATTTAAAAAAAATGAGCAGATGCAATACATAAATATTTAAAATTTCTCTTTATGTTTTATTTCATGAAACCTGCTTTCTTGTGGTTCTGAGAAAGATGATAGATATTAGTAGCTGAAATGTGCGGAAATGAAGAGATGGGCTATCTCCCTGTTTTCTAGGAGAAGTCAAAGAAGTATAAATAGAAATGGTTACTCCAGGAAATTAGAGGAAGGCAAATTTCAGCAAAATGAAAATGCATCATTTTGGGTTTCTAGCACTGGCATAAAAAAAACACGAATGACTGGTCTGTTGCGCTAGGGAGAAGGGAGAGACGCTGGTACATTTTTGCATCACGGCTAGAGGGAGGGAAACTTGGGGACCATGGCCTATTGATAACATGTATCTCAGGTGGCCAAGAATTGTGGAGAGGTTTTATTTTATTAGGTTGTGTTTTTTTGTTTTGTTTTATTTTGTTTTGTTTTGTTTTGTTTTCGGTCCAGCCATCAGCTCCTTATTGACCTTAGAGAGATGTGTTTGTAGCCAAGTAAAAAAGGAAAACATTGTTCTGGTTGTGTGCAATTTGGTGTGAGAGTGAACATTGCTCTCAGTGTGGGGTAAGGGTGGGGTTGGGAGCAGGGGCTTGAGGGGGCAGAGTCAGCTTTCCCTACACATGCAGGCTTCCCACCAGCTCATCTTAGTTTTCTAAATGGATTAGGGGGAGAGCTAATGTTGGGATCTGGGAGTGAGAGGTGAGAATCCTTTAACAGAGTCCTGAGTCAGGAAAAGGTAAGAACTTTGACTTTCCACCCAGCACTAAATGTTCACCGGCCAGGAATTTGTTTTTAGTAGAAACTGGTTTCTTCAAGGAAATGTAGGACCTGAATTGGTCACAAGGGGGTAGTAGAGGCAAGCACAAAATCAGAACCCGCTTAGCCACTCCTCTATTTAGAAAAGCCTTAGTTAATGCTAATTATTTGGGGGTAGTGGGAGGAGGTGTAAAAATATCTTTGGGCTAAAAATGAGGGGTGCAACAGAAAAGTGAGGCTTTAAGGGAGGAGATACACATCAAGAGAATGAGTAGGGGCAGGGGAATTGAAAAGATGGGTATTTGGGGGGGGGGGGGGGGGGAGGCAAGGAGGAGTAGTGAAAGTGGATGGAAAGTGTGCCTGAGATAAATGGGAGATATTTGGAGAGAGTGGAAAGGAGGGAGAGAGGGAGGGAGGGACAGAGGGAGAACGAGAGAGAGAGAGAGAGAGAGAGAGAGAGAGAGAGAGAGAGAGAGAGAGAGAGAGAGAGAGAGATTAATTGGTTGCTTTGTACATGTGCCCCTACCCACCCAAGATCAAGCCTGCAACTGAAGTACGTGACCTTGACTGGAATCAAACATAAGACCCTTCAGTTCGAAGGCCAATGCTCTGTCCACTTAGCTAAACCAGCCAGGGCATAAATGGGAGATATTTGAAAACTAGAGTTCTCACTCTAAAGAGAGGGGACATATGTACTTCTCCCAATGCCCATTCTCTCTTGTCTGTCTACCAGTAGACATAGTTCTAGACAAGGAAGAAAGGAAATTGCTCCACACAGTGCAGTATCCAGGAGGAATGTCTGAGTCAGAATATAGGATCTAGAAGCAAATGAGCTTCTCCCTCTCACAGGCTTTGTTCTCCTCCCCTCTCACTTTGGTGAAGGGAAAAATCAAATGTTATTCTCCTGAGAAAACAGTAGGAACAAGCTTTAAGGTAGGAAAAAAAAAAAAAAACCAGACTAAAAAAGAAATAGAGATATTGATACCCTTGTAACCTGAGTTTTGACATGTCATCTGTGGAGACTCAGATCAAAGCTTTATATGTTTGCATTGCCCCTAGTACCATGTTGGATGGCAGATAGTGCAGTTTGTGTCCAGGAAAAGATGCTCCAATATCTCCTTCCTAGAATATCACAACTAAATGGCCTATTCAAGTGTAGGAACACATTGTGACTTGTCATAGATGTGGGGTATGTTCAAATTAGTTATTTTGTGAAAGCACATCTGGAGGTCAGGGCTAGAAGTTGCTGGTGTTCACCCGCAAATCATGAGAGGGTACAGCCAGAGTAAGAAAAACAAATAAACAAACAAACAAAAAAAACAACCCACAGAGGAATAGGGAGGTTCAGACAGGGTTAAGTATAGGTAAGAGCTCTGAACCTTAGTCAAAGATACCAGAAAAGGCAAGCCCTGGGAATGAGGCTGAAATCAACTGGGGCAATAAGAAATCAAGGCTTCCCCAAAAGGACATGGCCTCAGTAAAGAAGAATCACCATTTGCCTAATGGAAATGATAACTTTTTTGGGAAACTTTAGCAATTTAAAATTTTCAGTTGTGCTGTTGGCCTCTCCAAGGGCCCTTTCATTCAGGGGAAAGTGTTTGCTCAGCCCAAGGATGCTGGTTTTTCATTTGGCCACAATATCAATAGTCATTTGGCCAGCCTCTCCATTGTTGGAAACACGATCCTCACTCCCGAGCCCACTGTTAAGCAGGCTTTATGTGCCCTGGATAATGAGAGTGCCAGTGTGGAAAATCAGGGCCAGATTAAGATGTACATCAGTGAAGTGTGTCAGGAAACTGTGTCACATTGCTGCAACTCATTTCTGCAGCAGGCCAGATTAAATTTGTTAATAAGCATGACAGTTATTAATAACATGCTTGCCAAATCCGTTTCAGACCTGAGGTTTCCTTTGATATCAGAGGGAAGTGGATGTGCTGAGGTTCATGTTTTGAAACCGTTGGTGGGTTTGTCTGAAAAACCATTCTTGGCAGGGGAATTGCTGGGTCCCCAAAAGCTGCTCTCATTCATGTCCCTCTTTATCAGGAATGGAGACAGGCAGGGTCTCCTGGATACCCTGGCCTCTTAAAAGACCATCTCAGACAGAACGGGACCCAATCTGCCCAAAACCCATTTGGTGAACACGCACTCGTGTTCTCATCCAAAGACTCTGCAGTGGGTGCTGTAGAAGATCCTGCCTTAGCCAATCACCACCTCATGGGGTGAAAGTCACTTGCTAAATCAGGGACCACATTCTTATTGGCGGGGCAGGTGTTCCCACTGAGCTTTGAATAACTTCTGGTTTTGCAGTCTACAGGTAAAGTGCATTGTAAGTTACTTCCTTACTTCTTCCTGTGGTAAAGGGCTCATTTCAGCTGCCAGCTGTGGATAAAGCATCATGAAGGGTGCTTGCTATGGTCTCCCTGACTAAGCTCCACTGTTCTCCAGAGACCAGACACATATCGGAGCTTGTGCTGAAAGTGCTTTTGTTGTTGCATAGGTCGAATTCTTTTTTGTTCACTCTTTCTTCTACACCAGCTGATGGATGGTGAACCCATTCATCAGAAAAGTGCACTCCCTTTCTATGTTCTGTACCGACTTAACCTCACCCACCCAAGTCTGCATTTGTATGTTTCATCAATAAACTTGTGTGCTTTGACTGGCGAAAATGAGACATGGTACTTGTCCTTGAGTTGACAGTGTGCATGAAGAGAAAGTCAAAACTACAGGATAAATGCTAACTGGGTCAGGGAGTGGGGAAGGAAGGCGTTTGCTCCGACAAATGCACTCTTATCAGTGCCCACAGGAGGCAGGGGTAGAGATGGGCTGCAGTGTTCAGGAAAACCTCAGCAAGGGCTTGGAGGCTGAGGGAAGGTGAGGGCGTGGAAGGGATTTGGTGGAATTAGGATAAAATGTTGGGAGGACTGAAAGAGACAACGCCTGTGAAGCAGGAGCACTGTGCCTGCACCTGGCACCTGGCACCTGGCACAAAAATCCCTTGATGAAGGTGTCTTTCCTTGACTGCCAGCCAAAGAGGAATGTCAGTATCCTTGGGTTTGTCTGCACGTCCTCGAGGGCCACTGGGCAAGCCATCCCTGCACACTTAACGGATGATTGCTGAGTGTCTACTTTGTGTCACTGTCTTCTGGGAAGCTGCTGTTAAAACTACTTCCAGAACCCCTCCTTTACTTGGGATCCCAAGACCGAATTCCTGGCAGAGTGAGAAGTGTTGGTTTGGTGGAACTACCTTTCTGCACCATCCCTGGTACCTTCAGTGGGATCCAGGCAGAGGAGAGTGGAGTTCTCCACCAACTTCCTGTCGGGGTCATAGGGCAGACACCCAGGGTGCTAAGGATGGCTGTGGCCATTCCATTGATCAAGAGACACATCCTCCCCTCCACCCAAGCTCCCAACACCCCTTGGAGGGAAAGAAGGGCCCAGCCCTAACCACTGAACCACTTCATTGAAATGGGCAACTCATTTCCAGACCCATGTCAATGTGCCTTAGACCCTGTGTCGCCAAAGCCAGGCCCCCTGCATGTTTTGGGTGTGTCAGGCAATGGCCCTGCTCCTCAAAGCTCTGGCCAGCTCAGTGGACAGGAAGCTTCCCTTGGGCAGTAATGCTTCTGTGCCTGCTGCCCTCTCCTGGTCTCCTGGGATAAGGTGACCAGACGTCCTGCTTTTGGTGGGACGGTCCCGATTTTTAACAATTTGTCCCTCATCCCTCGGCGTTTTAAAAAAGTCCCGATTTTTGGAAAGAATGCACGACAAGCTAGGAAATGGCGGGAGAATGGGAAGGGAATATATGGTTTTCGGCGGCCATGTGACTATTTAGCCAGGATATGAGTTTTATATCATTTTTGTTAATTTTATAATGTTAAGCTTTAATAATAACAAATAATTGTTGAGAACCGATTATCGAGAGCTGCTTATCAAAGTACACTACGACGAAAACATTTTGTAACTGTATCTCAGACGATACACATCATACTGCATGCTAGTAAGCTAGTTAAACAAGTGATGTCATTACAAATCAGCTATTCAGATAATTTAGGTAAGTAATTTATTTATTCATTCATTTCACAAATACATAAATATTCTTGAATTTAGCAGACAGTACTCGTATTTCAGAGCATTTAAGGTTGACCAGCCTTCCAGATTCCCTATCCACATCTCTCTATTAGTGGGACAATGATTGGTTGTTGAAAGTGAAGTATCTCCTATCCCCTGCTGCTTGGTGGCAAACTTATTTCCAAACCCATTTAGGACAGATTACTTTCTCCAAATATGACCTGTCTCTGTGACTCCTTATTTGGACCAATCTCTATGCTTCTTCTTACGGGTTTCCTGCTCATGGTGGCTCCCATTGCAAACTTGTACATGCTTCTTATCTTTAAGAAATATACACATTTTGCCCAGTGGGCATGGTTCAGTGGTTGAGCGTCAACCTATGAACCACTAGGTCACAGTTCAATTCCCAGTTCAGGGCATATGCCAAGGTTGCAAACTCAATCCCTGATGTGAGATGTGCAGGAGGCAGCCAATCAATGATTCTCTCTCATCCTTGATATTTCTATATCTCTTTCCCTCTCCCTTCCTCTCTAAAATCAATAAATATATGTATTTTTAAAAAGAAATACACGAATTTGTTAAGAAGGTGGATTTCACGTTGACTGCTCTTATCACAATAATAATAAAAAAGAAACATATACAGTCTCGCCCCATTATGAAATTAGGTGATGTCTAGTGGCTGACTTGAGAATGCAGAATCACAGAGAGTTCCTGGAAAATTAACAGAACAGAATGTCAAGCATAAAATCAATTCACAAATTCATGGAGATGATCTCTGTGAAGGAGTTAGAGCTCAGTATAACTGCCAGGCTCAGTTTGGACAGAGCTTTTAGTCAGAAAGGCAAACAAGTCTATGTTCTCTGCCAGCATTCCTGAACTTTCTTACTAGACAGCACAGGAGGAAAAGTAACACACAGCACAGTTATTTTCTGTCCTGGAAACTGAACTTGTACCTATTAAAAGAAAAATGAGTGACACAAAAGATGCTTAAATCAAACCCGTTGCATCTGTAGTTGTTGACATGGCTTTCTTAATTAATTTTCTTAGCATTCATCACGCTCCATTGTATTTTCCATTTCCTTTGCCTGTCTTCTGAACTACATGATAAGCTCTATGAACACAAGAATGATACCTGTTTTGTTTACCATTTAATCTCCATATGCCTCTCAAATAATTAAGGCTCAGTGTCTACTCCATTTAATTGTCTAGCATTCACTCTGCAATTCTGGTTCTGGATAACAGTTTGTGCTTATCTATATATTTTTGAAAGATTTTCAATAGATATGCATTATGTTTACAAAGAGAAATTTGTTTTAAAAATGTGTTAAACAATCAATATTTACAATATAGTGATAATTAACTTAAAAGTGCAGGTGCATGAAAAGGACCAGAATGTTAGACACTCAGTGTTTTAAGGTCCTTTTCTCAGGTCTCTTCACCTTCTTCATTTTTCAGGAATCTCATCCACTGCTACTGTTTCAATTATCACCCATATGTTAATGACTCACAAGTCTACATATCCTGAGTTCAAGATTAATTTATTTGATGCCTACATATTGCATATCCCACAGGTATTTCATGTTCAAAATCCTGTATTTCTCCCTCATCTTAAATTGTTAACTTGTTTCAAAGTCCCATTGATTTCACTTCATTAATAGGTGTTAATATTTATAAGAACAATACATACACATGACAGCAAATCAATTACTAGAGAGTTTGTGATGAAAAGGAATCATTTTACCTCTTGCTTTTCCCTAAACTCAGTACCACTCTCTAGAGTTCAGAGGCAAGTTTTTTTAACTTTTAAAATGTTAACTCCTTCTCATGCAGTGGTTTTCAACCAGGGGTGCCTTTGCTCCTCCAAGAGCCATTTGTCAGTGTCTGGAGACATTTTTGGTTGTCACAACTGAGGAAAAGTGCACTGTTAGCATCATGTGGACGGAGGCCAGGGGTTGTTCCTGGCCCTAAATGTTAATAGTGCCCAAGACTAAAAACTGTTCTTGTGGTTATCTTCGAAACACCAAAAATATCCTTCTACCCTTAATGATCTTCTGATGTGAAAATAGGGCACTTGACTCATTTATTTTATAATCCTCCCTGTCTCTCTCTTATTTTCATTTTTTATTGTGTCGTTGTTATTACTTTAGTATAATTATACAGTCAATTTTTATGGAGTACCATTGTATGCCAGACACTATTCAAGACATTGAGTTTGGTAGTAAGCAAGACAGTGATAGCCTTTATTAAGCTTGCTTTCTTGTGGGGGTATTAAACCATAAAATCAATTAAAATAAGGTAGCTGAATTTAACTTTAAATTATTTACATAAACCTTTATTTTGTTTCAAAAACTTCTACCAGGATGTGTTCACAACTCACATTATAAAATGAAGATATCAGCTCTGCTATCCTTTCTCCTCCTGTCTTTCATCATCTTCTATATCCCATGTTCTGTCAGTTACATTTTATTAAGTCCAATGTTAGCTTGAAATCTCATGCTTATGAACGATATGTGAATAATTTTTTAAAACTATACAAAATAAATTCATGTATTAGGACACTACTTGGCAATGAGCAGCATTTATATAGCCATAATCATCTTAATGTTATTTATTATTTCAATGTATAGAGTTGAAATGGGATATTAAAGATGTGTTGTTCAATTGTTATAGAAGATCATGTAAAAGTAAACTTGAACTTACTATAGAGATAGATAGATGATAGATTAGGGATAGATAGATAGATAGATAGATAGGAGACTATATAAAGCAAAAACCTTAGCAGCATTCTCTCCATGATAAAAGCAAGGCCACCTTGCTTTCAAGACCCCATGAAGGTATCCCTTTGATGATGATAGCACCTGACTCCCTCAGGTGCTTTCACAAATTCAATCTTGGTCTTTCTTGGGGATGTGGGAAGGTTACCTTTATATTCAGTGTGTCACTTCAGACTGTTCTGGGAGCCATGTAACCATTGTCTATTTATATACCGTCTTCTGGTGTGGTAGAGCCAGGTATAAGTTGTAAATTAATTTTATCAGGGTATAAATGTATCTTACCCTGCAAACATTTACTCAGTAACATAGGAGCTAGTTCAAACCTACCCCACCTTATGTGGCATAATCAGATCTCAGAGATACCTGAGATTATTCGCTTTTGCTTTGATCTAGGCCACTACAGTTGTTTAGAAATGTTCTGAAATCCAAGGTCAAAGCTCTTGAGTCACTTAGAGCATACTGTTGGTAGATTCAAAACTCAATAAACTATTTTTCCTTATATTCATCAAAGTCTGAACTTACTCTATAACTTAATTTTCTGCATATTAGGAACAAGTACACATTTTTTGTTTTGTTTTGTATACCTGTGTCTATTGTTGCATAACAAACTATTCCAGAATTCAGTAGCTTAAAACAACCATCTTATTTGCTCATTAATTTGCAGATCAGAAATCTGCACTGAGCTTATCTGATGGTTTCTTCTGCTTGTCCTGCTTAAAGTCATTTATATAGCTGGAATTATTTTTTTGGTAAGTAAGCTGTGGGATGATTTTCCTGTAGCTAGCATTGCCAGATATTGCAAATAAAATTATAGGATGTCCAGTTAA